TATGGCAATAAGAATATAACATTCTAATATTTTACTTTTAAGTGATTTGAGTCTTGGAACCCAATATGTATACAACATACAAGCTGTACAAGGTGGTCAATTAAGTGAGATGTCACCATCTTTGCTATATACCCATGGACAGTCATTTTGTGGGGATGGCGTTATTGACAGGTTAGTAAACTTCATTACAACTCTATATAGTTTCCATAATATAACAATTGTACAGCTAATATGACAACATGAATTAGACTGTTGTATAACAAATGCTTACATCAGACTAAGTGCAACACAATTTGGAGGATATAGTCAAGTGTTGTTGAAGTGATATTGATTGATTGGTAAAACATGCATTTTAAAGGGAGGTGATTATCGCACTGCACATGTGCAACATTTGTGTTGATAAACATCCCACAAACTAATGCACTTTTCTAATGCACATCATTACACATTTTGCCCCGGGCAAGACGTGCACTAATTTATAATACCGCCTGTGACTTTTTCAATGCCTTCCAATCACTGATGCAATTACCTAGTTTAAAACTTAGTAAACTTTGTTCTTATGAGACCCATATCTCGTGCATGTGTGGTGCGACGACCACCACCCTTTAAGTTGCTCATTTGTTTTCATGAGTTCTATGATCTTCAGATCTCGCAATGAAGAGTGTGACGATGGCAACGCCATAAATCAAGATGGATGCAATTTAAATTGCAAAATTGATGAATTCTTTCACTGTAAAGGTAGGTTTTGTAGGCACACTTCTATCTATTCTCATCCCAAATTTTGAGTACATTGTGATGGAATTAGGCCATTTTGAGTGTCACAGGATTTAGATAAGCTTTGCATATCAACATGTTGTATATGGTGAGATGTCGTCCAATATATAGTGAAGGGAGTGGGACTGTTAAGCAAACAGACATGGTACAATTCAACACCAGCATATATCAAAACAAATGCTGCTGTTGTAAAATGTTGATATTGTTAATTCCAAATATGATATCGTCTTTGTACTTAAATACTCTGACAGATAGTCAACACCTCAATCGTCGGCCTCAAGATTCATAATTGAATAAAAAAATTGACGAGAACTGGTACATGTATGTTGACATGGTTTCACATATAATTTGTAATTTACAGTATTTAGTGTGCCTGTAAGATGATTACATATCATCTGGTAATGTATCATGTTACAGTTAGTGTCAATAATTATAATTCAATTCATAAATTGTCAAAGTTTTGTGTAGAATATGTGCAAATGAGCATGCAGTTCTTAGAATGGGTTATCCCTGTTGTCATAGCAATTAGTCATGCCTTAAAACTTACCAGCTCTATATTTTTATTTTTGTATACCTTTTGATTAAATGAAATGTAACTAATATTTTTTTCCCATCTATCAGTCACATATGCTATCAATAATTATTTGGATTAATTTACTGTTTGTTTTAGGAGAACCAAGTTTATGTTACTTACATGATGGAGATGGAATTTGTGAGGATTTTGAACAACTTTCCAGTGTTCGTGATTGTGGTTTTTATACACCACCTGGCTATAGTGACCAGTATGCAACAACTGCTGTAGCAAATCCAATGTATCAACATGATGACTGTCCTGAAAGTGTAGTCATTGGTGAACCACACTTATCACAGGTAGCTATTTCTAATTTATGAGATCAAAGTACCTAGAAACTTTAATACAGAGAGTAATTGTTCCAGTGTCAAACTATGTATAATTGCTCTAATGAAATATTCACCTATTTATAATGGCTTTTGTAACATATTAACTATTAATACTATTTCTAGTGACATATACAACATATGGTATAATTAAGTGACATTGGGACTACTGTTTGTCGTTATGGTGAAAGTTCTATCATGGCACACTGATTAAGTCTGCTGACATGAATATGTATATCCTTTTTTGTTTCCATGGTGATTAGCTACACTCATCTTTACTGCACATTGAGATATAATTATTCTTCATTTTCAGAAATGTGAAGCTGAGATTGATCCTTCCACTGCATGGCGTCCATGTAATGTTGTTTTAAATGATGGTGACTATTGGCTGAGGGTGAGTACACAATAGTGTGTAGACTCGTCTAGTGTGACTTATCCAAACTGAAAACCTGTGGCAGGAACTATAGGGTGTGTGCGAATGGTGATGGCCACTAGTGAAATAAAATGTCTTATTTTTGCTTAAATAATCAATGTTTCAAATTCTTGTGTTTCTTTGAGCTCATAGGTATAGTAGCCTGCTTACCTTTTTATGGTTTTGTGGGTTCTTAACTTTTATTTGTGGGTTCTTGGGTTTTATTGCAGAGAGAACCCCAAAACAGCAATAGTTAGGTAACAGGTTCATTTGTGTCTTCAGATATGGCTTATTCCTTTACAGTGAAACCAGTGAATACATAACAAATATAAGAACTAATTGATATTACACTCTTTTATTATTTTTTTTTAGGTGGGATTTGACAGGCCTTTGGTTGCTACCACTGTCATTATTTATATTGCTTCTGATGGAGCGTCCACATTGAACTTTGAACCCAATTCCATGTCAATAGATCTTATTGATACAGCTGATATTAGCCACCCTCTTGGAACCAATGAAATTATGCTATTCTGCAAAGACAATCCAATTCACGTCGGCGTCGTCCATGACCTTAGTAAACCCTTTTACCTTACAAAAGCGGTTTTAATCAAGTTCACTTCTCCAAATATAGCAATCTCGGCAGTGGCACTACGCTCACACAATGGATTGGATCCAATCACGTTAGCCGGGTGTCATCCGGGTGAACTTTATAATCCAGCCACTAAGCAGTGTACTTCGTATCAATGTAAAAAACCAATGTGTAATAAACTAACCATTAAACATGCCTCGTCTGATTGTCAGGACAACGATAAAGATTACGTGGAAGGTGATATTTGCAAGGTGAAATGTATTAATGGCTACGTACCAAATGAAAGTAAACAGGTAATTATGGATAATAAATTGAAATTGTACACAGCAGCATTAAACAAATAGTTATCTCAGTGGAAATCAATATTTAGTTTTACCGGTATAATGACTTGAAAAAAAGAAAACTATTGACAAATATGCAGTGGAGGTCATTAATTTCTCCAAGAGTCATTAAAATTGAGTATTGATCTTCACCAATGTATCTAGTATGTTTTATGATACAGAATAAAAAACAAACAAGATAAATCAATTTTTGTTGTAAACATTACAACTGTGTAATCGCAGAATAATAATCAAGGTCACAAGATTTACATTATAGAATAATGATTTTATTATTTTGAAACCAGTTCCCTTTTTTCATCACAAATTCACAAAATAGTCCTGTTTATAGTCTGCACTTTCCTTCAGATGATAGGGACAAAAATAACCAATTTGTTTTTGTGAAAACGGAAAATTTCTTCAAATGTTGTCTGTTGGCTTCTAAATTCATTCCATTTCTAAAAATTTTGAATATAGGAAAAAAGTGCAGAAAAATTATGGTGAGAAATTCTGGTAGTGAAAAGGTTAAACAAAGCATCTGTTGTACATGTATGTAATAACATTGTATGTGTTTCATGAGATACAAACATAGTTATCGTAAATCCTTCTCTTCAATGGAAATATTGTGTATTACAGGTGTTGTGTGTAGGTGGTAATTGGCAAGGCTTATCGTCTCTATCCTGTATGCCTATTAACTGTGGTACACCAAATATTGCCCATGCAGAGGTAGTTTGTTCTGATGGTACAACATTTGGTAAACAGTGCTCCTTTAAATGTATTCACCCAGCTAAGATGCAAGGTACATGTCTTTACCAGAATGTATGTTCATTTCCAGTTGTTCAACGACTAAACCCTCAAATCGAACATTTGTTAATTTGATTAGAGATCACTTTCCCGAAAGTCGAAGAAACTGTAAACTGTAAACTTGCATGCATGATATTGTGCTTCTGGGTATCATCAATCAATCAATGTCACAAAAATATAATTCCCTTCTATCGAATATCAGCAAGACACGTTTGTATTTTCTGCAATAAAAAAGCAGGTCTATACCCCAGTCTCACTACTTCCCATTAGACAATCAGAGGTAGGCTGTGGGAATTCATGAAAAAAAATGTTGTGAGTAAAACCTGAGGGGGAAAAAAGAAAGAAAATAATTATCTTAAAATGAACCAGAGATGACGCATCTCCTAATATTCATCATATCTGGAATCATTATAATGTTTTAGTGATCCATATTATATCTGCATTTGTCAGGTACCGATAACACAGTAGTGTGTGAAAGTGATGGCATGTTTAGCCTGCCAGATGCATTCTGTCAGTTGATGTGTGATGCACCACAGTTACCAACAAATGCAATACTTGCAAATCAGAAATGCCAACACAGTGGCCACAACGTTGGTACGTCTTGTAAGTTTCGCTGTAAAGCAGGATACTATATAAAAGGACAACCATACAGCAGGTGAGTGCTATCTCTTCTAGTTGAGCTGAGATGAATACACCCTGTTATTTATAGTTTCACATACTATACTTATGGATGAAACTTTGAAGGTACTTTAGTTAAGGTCCACAGGTGCTTGTATTTGACCAGGCCTGGTTGATGCCAGGATAGCACATTAAATTGATATTTGACAGAAAGATGGCAGCACAGCCCTATAATGTAGTACCAAACATAAATTCTGGTATGTCTTCAGCACTCACACTTGCAATTTGCACATAAAAGAAAAAACGTTTAGAGACAACAGTGACATTTAATGTCCGGAACTAGCACAAAACAAATTTACAAAAAAAACTATCTAACTTACTTTAATAATTATATTAGTAGATCATTCCGTCATGTATGCGGAGAAGACGCTGAATGGCACGGACAAACATGTGAGCCAGTCCAGTGTGAACCTCCCCCACTACTGTATTACGGCATGTATAACTGCACTGATGGATATAATTCAGGAAGTGAATGCAAACTTCGCTGCCCGGGAGAGTCTGGTGATTCAGATAAGGTAATGGCATGATTTGTAATCACAAATCAATAACAATTAAATTCAGGTCGTTAAATTAGATACTAGTC